GGGGGTATTTTTTTGTTTCTCTGGGATGTAGAGATACAGAAAAATTGTTAGGTCAGTTTGAAGTAGTGATTCAAAGCAACTAATACTCAGTGTTTATCTTTCAGAATTTTCCTTGATTTTGTATTTTATTTTTAACTAAAAAAACCCACCAAGATGTAAGAACAATACTTGGTATAAACACCCATTCTGTCCTGTTCAGCTCATGGCCAGTCCAGACATGCGGGGCAACCACAGCCCTGGTTCCCTCCATATTTCCCTCACCATTTGGATGAGCAACTCTAGAATCTTTGGTTCACGTTCCACTTATTCTCAGGCTAGGACTGCCACTTACTGTCCTTCTCAATTTGATAGGACTTGTCACCCACTGAAGACGAGCCCGTGTGCCCTGATGGCGTAGGTGGCATGGACAGCGTGTCTGAGAGCACTGGCAGCATCCTCAGCAAGCTCGACTGGAATGCCATCGAAGACATGGTGGCCAGCGTGGAAGACAAGAGCCTGTCTGTCCACTGGGCCCTGGATCTGTAAGCCTAAATGTCTTCCTGTTCCTGCAGCCAGCCCCTCAGTGGTGTAGTTCTGAAAGGCGTGTGGGTTTAAGGGAAAGAAGCAATGAAAGAAGTGATGTGAATTTACCACCTGCAGCAATATTACTACCTGGATAAGCCATTTCAAGAGGGAAAATAAACATTTCTCAGTAATTTTGCCTTCATTAGGAAAGGGTTGTTTAACTGTAGATGTATTATGTTTTTGCATTTGACTTATCTTTAGGTGTAATTTTTTAAATAATGAAAAAATAAAATGTACCTTTCAAGCCAAGTTTGCATCATGTTTAAGCTCTTTTCAATAAAAATCTTCTATCTTGCCTCCTCCTTTACCACCCCCCGAGTTTGAGAGAAAAACCTTATATGGGTAAACCTGACAGGAAGAGGGAGGTGAGCTCCATTTTAGAACACTAAAACTTACCTGTGCAGGGCTTAGCCTCGGAGTGAAAAGACAGCAACCACCTGCCACCAGTCCTGAACGTGTAGAGAAGACTGTCCTCTGCCCTGTGGCCTGAAGGCCTTGGAGGAGGAAGACGGGTTGGATGCTTTGGGTGGGAAAGGAAGGGAACATCACCCCTGACTGCAGAAGGATCATGTTAACTGTAAACCCACGGGCCAGAGGACTCCGGGTCAAGACGGCGGACGAGGTACACTCTGTCCTCGCCTCCTCCCACAACCTCAATTATAAACCATCATGGAGAACCACCTAAAGACTAGCTGAACACAAGTCCTGTAACTAAGGATATAAACGGCCCTTGAGGCTGGTAGGAGGGGGGAGATTTGGCTGCAGAGGTCCCCCTGAGGAGCAAGGGGGTCCCAGTCCCACACTGCTCCCCCAGCCCTTGGTGCTCAGACCAGGAAGGGGTTTCCCCATGACATCAGGCTGTGAAACCAGCAGGGTCTGAAAGGGCCCACACACAGACTCACTGGGCGCCTGCTCTGGGCTCCTGTGCGGAGGCAGTGGCTCAGTGAGTGCCAGGGACATAGGGAAGAACTAAACTGACTAGCTCCAGGGCAGGGCTGGAAAGGAAGGCGTTGGGACAGCTTTCTCTAGGGAGGAAGTAGTGGCAGGTGCCATTGTTTCTTTGTTGAACCCTCCCCTCACCCACCCAGCCAGCCCAGCACAGTCAGGCACCAAATCTGAGCTCTCCATAACCTGGCTGGCTAACCAGCGTCCGCTGGCCTTGGTGTGCCATGTACCTCTTGCCAAGCTATTCCAAGCCTGACATAAGCTGTGACTGATTTCAACTTACATTTTAAGCCCCATCAAGTAGCCCCACACGGGCATAAAGCAGTGGCCAGTCTTGGCTTGGGATGTAGCCTCAACTAAGTGGTCACAAACCTGGCACAAATGGCAGCTGGCCTCAGCTCACGTTCTGGGGCCCACCAAAGGGTGCCCAGCCCGTACTTGTGGCAGCCAGCCTTAGTTCACAGAACAGGCTCCTCTGAGCACAGCAAACCTCAGATTACTTTGTAGCACCTACCAAACAGCCCCAAGCTGGGCACAAGTGATGGCTGACTTGACCTGCACTGGAGCCCCTCTGAAGAGGCTCCAGAACCAATACCCCTAGCGGCCAACTTGAGACCACACCAGAGCACCACCCATCTAGCTCCACAAACCATACATCCAGAGGGCAGACTTGGCTGGCACGAGCGCCCCACTAAAGCAACGCCTGCTCCATGGCACCAGCCCTCATAGCCAGTCAGCCTAAGGGTCACTCCCACCCACTGATGTGCCAAAGGCAATCAAGGCTCAGCCACACAGGAGGGTACACACAACCTACATGGAAGGGGGTTGCACCTGAAGTGCACAGCTTGGGTGATTGTGGAGACTGTGCCACTGGGCCCTACAGGACACCTACTACATAAGGCCACTCAGTCAACACCAGGAGGTATAGCAGGTCCACCTAAAACATACAAACAGGGAGTCACCCAGAATGAGGAGACAAAGGAATATGTCCCAAAATGAAAGAACAGGACAAAACTCCAGAAAATGAACTACACAAAATGGAAACAAGCAGTCTATTAGATACACAGTTCAAAAGATTGGTGATTAGAATGAAATAAACCAATTAAAGACTAGTAAGATCTGAAACAATAAAACTAGAAAACACAGGCAGTAAACTCTAACATTGCTCTCAGTAATATTTTTTTGGATATGTCTCCTAGGTTAAGGGAAACAAAAGAAAACAAACAGTATGACTACATCAAACAAAAGTTTTTGCACAGCAAAGGAAACCATCAAGAAAACGAAAATACAACCTACTGAACTGGAGAACATATTCACAGGTGACATACATGATAAGGGGTTAATATCCAAAATTTATAAAGAACTACAACTCAACACCAACCTCCAGACAATCCAATTAAAAAATGGGTAGAGGACCTGAATAGGCACTTCTCCAAAGAGGACATACAGATGGCAAATACAAAAGATAGATGCTCATCGTCATTAATCATCAGATGTGAAAAACCACAATGAGATGTCATCTCACACCCGTCAGAATGGCTATCCTCAATAAAGCAACAAACAAGTGTTGGCAAGGATGTGGAGAGAAGGGAACCCTCGTGAGCTGTGGTGGGATTGCAAACTGGTGTAGCCACTAAGGGAAACAGTTTGAAGGTTCCTAAAAAAATTAAAAATAGAATTATCATATGACCCTGCAATCCCACTTCTGGGTATTTATCCGGAGAAATCCAAAACACTAACTCAAAAAGATATATACGTCCCTATGTTCACTGCAGCATTACTTACAATAGCCAACATACCGGAGCAATGTAAGTGTCCATAAATAGACAACTGGATAAAGATGTGGTACTTAGTGAGAACAAGATGGCGGCCTAGGTCACAGCTGCACCCGCACCTCCACAACCACATCAAAATTACAACTAAAATACAGAACCACCGTCACTCAGAGCCTCCTGAGAGCTGGCTGCACAGAAGCCCCACAGCCAGGGAGCTGAGGAAGCACCGAGACCAGGAGGAGGGGCGCAGACGCGGGCGGATCGGGGCTGAATCTCGGAGACTCGGCCTCGGGCCCACACCCGGTGCCGTGGGTAAAACCCGGTGGGGGAGGCTTCCCGGAGGAGTGAGGGGTCCCAGCCCCACAGCAGGCCCCCAGCCCAGGGCTCCAGGCCAGGGAAGAGACGTCCCCACAACTCCGGGCTGTGAAACCAGCGGGGACTGTCCCTGAGGGTCACGGAGGCTGCGGGAGCCCCAGCAGCTCCTCTAAAGGGTCCGGCACGGACTCACTCGGACGCTCCCTCTGAGCCCAGCGCCGGGAGCAGCCTGAAAGGACCCGGGACACTCGGGGGGGAACTAACCTGCCTGGAATCCGGGCGAGAGGCGGAGAGGGGGCTTTTTCCCGGGCAGAAGGGCTGGCGGAGGCCGTCGCTCCTTTGGCGAGTCTTCCCCGCACACAGCCGGCAGGCAGGCGCCATGTTTGAATCGCCAGCACCTGACTCACGCCTTTGGCCCCNCCTCTCGAGCCTCAGGCTTAGGACTTTCCTAAAATCTCTCAAACAAGCAGCAGCGTGTCCCTTACGGTTTGATAAGCGGCCCCAGGCCTGGCACTAGCAGCAGCCTGCACTGGCTCATAGCTTGGCCTCTCCTGGGCACCTCCAAGCCCAGCACAAGGAGCAGC